CACCCCATCAGTGAAGGTAGGAGATAGACATGTGGCTGAGCCTTCCACTTACATGATGCCCCTGCCCGGGTTCTTTCCTCTGCTGGAGAGTAGAGGGCTCAAGCCAGCATCCCAGGAGCCTAGCCCTGCTGACCATGTGACACTACCCCTCAATCTCCCCAGAGTACACATAACTTCTGCCTGATGTCCCCCAAACTGCAGCCAGTCAGTCAGTCCCCTATCAAAACCCCAAGCCTTTCATCTTCAAAGTGACTTTTATTTTCCAAGAAAAGATAGAGTAATTACCACATCTCAGATGAGCTGGAAGAGAGCCATTCAACTCCCTCTTCTTCCAGGGATGTTTGCCCAGAGTGCTGTGTACATGGCAAGATGGAGAGCTGTCCTGATTTTCACTGACCTTGACCAAATATTGGAAATGATAAAAATGACCCCATATGGGACGTATTCAGCCTCCCAGTGAATGATCAGCAGAGGTCAGATGGGGAATGTGCAGGCATAAAAAATATTGTTAAGAAAGACAGCTAGGGACTGGAGAGATGGCTCAGCAGTTAAGAGTGCTGGCTGCTCTTGCAGAGGACCCAGGTTCAATTCCATGGAGACCAAAAGAGGGTGTCACATTCCCTGCAGCTGGCATTATAGGTGGTTGTTAGCCACCCTGTGAGTGCTGGGATTTGAATCCAGTCCTTTGCAAGAGCAGCCTGTGCTCTTAACCTCTGAGCCATCTCTCCAGCCCCTTTACTGTTACCATATTGGCCATAATTGCCAAGGAGCCTAGGAAGTGTGATCTAGTTCAGTGGGGATTCTCTTACCAGCAAGTTCGTGCAGAGCAACACTTGACAGCAGCCTGCAACGTGGCCACTGATGCTCTGCACTCTTCTCTAGCTGGTCCCAGCCTCCGCTAACTTTTTCCTTTGGTACTCAGGATTTGATACCTACCATTTAGGAAACTGAATAACTAAGTCAGTGCGTCCATCTCCAGCTATGGGAGGATGTTTCCCAAGGCAGCTGACCAAGTGTGAATGCAGCCAGTGAGGCCAAGGTTGGCTGGAGTCAGAGTCTGTAAAACCCTTAAATCACCACAAACTGGGCCCTCAGACACAAATCAAAGTAAGAATCAACTTTTTATGTTTCTTGTGTTGTGGCTCTTCCTTCCTTTGGGGACATTGAAGACCAAGGTCTGGTTGAAGGATAATCTGTCTTTTTTTTGAGAGGAGCATGGAGTTGAGTTTCCAGAAGGTCCAGGGCCCCTCATGAGCTAAGCCTAGCTGTTAAGAGTATGGTCTGTGTAGGCAAAGTCCTGACTTTGAACTGGCAGGTGACTCTAGAGAAGCTGCTTGCTTCAGCTCCTCTGCTGGGTCTTCAGGGCCTCAGCTTATGATCCCTCCTCCTATGACAATCCTCCCAAGGTGAAGGTCAGAGGCGAGGAGCATCAGCATTGGTCAAAGAGGCTCAGCAGCTCCCTCAGAATCCAGGACTGGAGAAACCAAAAGTGGACTCGCACACTGTAGAGATGTGTTCTGTACAGCAGAGGCAACCCAAGCAGGGTTCAGGGAACACTCATCCCTGTGACCCAAGTTACCCAACACCCAGTCCTTTATCTCATCTCCAGTCCCCTCAGCAGTGGCCTCAGCCTCAGGCTGGTGGCAAGAGGGCAAGAACTGTGGTGTTATATCTAGACCAAGCCAGATCTGGAGGAAATAAGAGGCCATCAGTGTGTGCGTGTGTGCGTGCGTGCGTGTGTGTGTGTGTGTGTGACAGGTCTCCCTGGAGCCCCAGCTGTCCTGGGACTCACTGTTTAGACCAGGCTGGCCTTGATCTCACAGAGATCTGCTGGCCTCTACTTCTCGAGTGTTGGGATTGAAGGCGTGCACTTCCACACCCAGCTTGCTTTTTTAAATTTTTTCTGTTTGCTTGTTGTTGGTTTTTGTTTTTTTTTTTTTTAATGTGTATGAGTGTATTGCCTGCATGTATGTAAGTACACCTGTGTCGTGTAATGCCCGAGGAGGTCAGAAGAGGCTGTCAGATCCCCTGGAACTGGAGTTATGAATGGTTGTTAGCCACCATGTGGGTGCTGGGAATCAAACCCGGATCTTGTGCAAGAGCAGCCAGTGCTCTTAACCACTGAGCCATCTCTCTGGCCGCTTTTTAAGTTTTTTAAATACATTTATTTATTAATTTGTTCGTACCTGTGTGTGTGTGTGTGTGTGTGTGTGTGTGTGTGTGTGCCTGTATGCACACCATGGCATACATGTAGATGTCAGAAGATAACTTGTAAGAGTTGGTTCTCTCTCTCTCCCACTAAACTCAGTCTTGGTGGCAAATGCCTTGACCCACTAGGCCATCTTGGCAGCCCGAGGTCATCTTTTCTTGTCATCTGTCTTGGAAGTAAGCAGACAGTGCTGGAAACCCTGGGCTTCTTCCCATTTAGTTAAGTTATACTGGATAACAAAAACTTAAGTTAACAAAGATTCTTTTTCAGGTCTGAGGATAGTTCAGTGGTAGAGTATGTGCTTAGCATGCCCGGGAGCCTCAGTTCAATCCCTGGTACCAAAACCCATAAAAGACAAAAGAGGGTTGGACATGTAAATAAGTTGAGAGAACACTTGTCTGGCATGCATGGAGCCCTGGGTTTCATTCCTAGCACCACATAAAACGGGCATGGTAGCACGTACCTGGAATTTCAGCACTGAGGAGCTAGAGGCAGGAGGATCAGAAATTCAGGTTAACCCTTGGCTCCATAGTGAGTTCAAGGCCAACCTGGGCTATATTAGGCCTTGTCTTGGGTAAAATGTATGTATTTCGCCTACTCCACAGTTGTACTGCTCATTGATGGGACCTCACAGGAGCCAGGCTGCCCTGGCAGCTATTATCCCTCATCACGTCCCTCCCAGTGCACTGGTGAGAGCTGGTCATGACCCATCCAGCCAATCACAGGGTTCAGGAAATGTGCCACATGATATGCTTGCCAGTGGAAAGCCACAAATAATTTTGTAGAAGGCTGAATGGTCTTACAAGCCCTCACTTAGCCAAAATTGTGTCACATGCCTGTCCCTGACCCAGCCCCAGATAAGGAGAGGAGGCCAGACTACAAGTGACTCTGACCTGAGGTAGATGGACATGGTGGAGGGTTGGGGGGGTGTTAAGTTGCCTTTGTGTCCCTCTAGCCAAATATCTGACAAAAACAGCTAGGAAAGGAATAATTTATTTTGGTTTATCGTTTCAGAAGGTTTGGTCCATAGTTACTTGGCCCTGTGTGCTTAAACAGGAATATGCAGTGAAAGATTGCTGTTCCTCTCGAAGCAGGCCAAGAAACCGAGCAACAGGAAGTAGCCACAGTGTGACTCCACAGACTCACCCAAGTTACTTGCACCCTCCAGATAGGGACAGCCCTCCACTGCCACCTCCCTTGAATTCTGGCCCTGTTTGTGATATGCAGAGCTCCCTTTCAGAAAGACCTCTGTCTAGGGGACAGCTCTGCTATTTCCCCAACTCTCCCACCCTGACCATGCTTTTCAAACAAAAAATTTAGCTCAGCTCAGGGTGGTAGTGCACACCTCTAATCCTAGCACCAGGAAGGTGGAGGTGGGAGGGTCAGGTGTTCAAAGTAATCGTTAGCTATAGCCAGTTCCAGGCTAGCCTGGGCCACATGAGATGTCATCTCAAAAGAAGAAGGAAAAGTAAAAAGGACCAGCACCTGCTGCCAGCCCTGAGGACCTAGTTTCAATCTCCAGGAACCCACATGGTGGAAGGAGAGAACCAGCTCCCACAAATTGTCCTCTGACCTCCACATGTGTGTGTGGCATGGGTGTGCATGTGTTTGAGTGTATGAAAACAAATAGTAAAAAATATTTTTAAAAAGAATACATCACGGGGGCTGGAGAGATCGCTCCAGTGGTTAAGAACACTGACTGTTCTTGCAGAAGACCCCGGTTTGAATCCCAGCACCCACATGGCAGCTAACAACTGTCTGTAACTCCAGTTCCAGGGGACCCGACATCCTCTTCTGTCCTCTGTGGGCATTGCACAACACAGGTGTACTTACCTACATACAGGCATAACACTCATACTCATAAAAATAAAAATAATAGCCGGGCGTGGTGGCGCACACCTTTAATCCCAGCACTCGGGAGGCAGAGGCAGGCAGATCTCTGTGAGTTCAAAGCCACTCTGGTCTACATAGTGAGTTCCAGGACAACTGGGGCTACAGGGAGACCCTGTCTCAAAAAGACAAATAAATAAATAATAAATAAATAAATAAATAAATAAATAAATAATATTTTTTTAAAAAATACAGTACTAACCTTTAAAAAAAACTGTAACTCAATTCGGTGAGCTCTTGACCAACTAAAGTCCTAAGGCCTGGGGTTTGACCCCAGGTCTGTCTTGCTCTGAAGTCACAGCTCATGGTCCTGCCTCCCATGATGCCTTCCTCCAACAGCAAAGGGACACATAATAGCCTGCTGGCCAGATGTAACAGCTCCCCATGTGTCAGTTGTCAGACCCTAGTAAGTGCTGTGATCACCTCTTGACAGCCAGGGAAACTGAGCTCCAGCCTAGGAAATGATTACCCTGACTAGGCAAGGGAGAGCAGTGAGGTATGAGCCTGGGCCTGCGTGGTCTGCCTGCTGTGAGCCGGGGCCAAAGCTCCAGGGAAGGCCAGGTAGTTCCCTCTTCCATGGATAATAGGCAGAACCCTCCATAAGCAGGGAAGCCACCCAAGTGGCTCTGCGCTCTCCCTCCTGCAGGAGCCTGCTTCTGCCCTGCACTCCCTCCTTGCCGCCACCCCCCTGGCAGGCATCCTAGGCGAGCCTCTTTCCTGAGCCTCAGCTAATAGCAGATTCCAGGCTGCCTCGCCCAGCCTTGCTGGCAGCCTATTGCCCCAATCCACGCCACAGCCTCCCAAATGTTAACAAGCCACTGGCAAGCAAGTCCCAGGCACACGCTGTGCTAACACATCTGTATTTCACCCTGCTGCACTGTATCCCCTTGCTACTGCACAGGTACACGGCTGCCCCGCACCCACTGCTGTCGTTTGACCCCCACTTCAGCCATGATGCAATGTCCAGTGGAGACTCCTCCTCAGGTGGCCTGACCAGCCAGGAGAGTACCATGGAGCGCCAGAAACCAGGTAGGACTTCCTGAGCCCCAGTACCACCCGCTACCCCTGGGGCCTCTTGTTGTTGCTGTCACAGGGACCTTTCCCTCCTGACAGGCTCTGGACTTCATAGACTATAGAAGCCCCTGGTCTGCACTGCGCGTGTACTTCTGGCTTCTGCTGTTCAGTGTCATGTTGGTGGCGTGCAGTCACATGACTGCATGCAGAGTGGGGTTTCTGTATTTAGTATTCCATTGTCTGGGTGGAGTGCACTCCAGTGCTCCAGCCTTATGCTGGCAGATACTGGGGGGACCAGTCTAAGGCTGCTTAGAACCCTCATCTGTCTCTCTCTGAGCATGTTCTCCTGGGCATGGAACAGCTGGGTCATATGTTTGACTTCATGAGAAACTGCCAAACTGCACCTCAAAGGGAGGGACCATTTTGCACCCTCACCAAGAACATGTGAGAACCTTCACTGCTACATGTCTTCAACCATGCTTTTGTTTGGGTCGTTGGAGTGGACACATGGTGCGGTCACACTGTGGTTTTATATGCATATTTCTTTTAATTCTATTTAATTTAATTTACTCATTTGTTTATTTAGAAACAGTCTTGCTGGGTAGCTTCGCCTGGGCTCAAACTCATGACCCTCCTACAAGAGCACAGCTGGCTCTTTTAATTTGCTGCTTCTTTTCAATTTGGTTTTTGATTTTGTGAAGCCCAGGCTGGCCTTAAACGCACTATGTAGCTGAGCAGATGGCCTAGGACCCCTGTTCCTCCTGCCTGGACCTCCCCAGTGCTAGGATTATAGGCGTGCACCACCACGTTACCCGCCTGATTTCTGTTTTCCTCATGATTGATTGTATTGATCATCTTCCTTTTTTGTTTTTGTTTTCATCAGGTGTAATGATGAATTTTGTGCCTATACCACATGGGTGAATACTTTAAATAATCTCTTGTGACAACCTTGTAGTCCCTTGAAGCCTGAGTACAGGTTCCAAAGGAAGATGGCAATCTTAAGTATTAGAGAGAAAGGAGGGACAGAGATGAAAAAGTCCTCCTAGGGGATGTGAGAGGATTTCTGGGCAGCTGGGAAGGGTGACCAGGGGCACCTCACCCATTGCCCAGGCCACGTGAGGTAGGGAAGAGGGGACAGGCCAGGGCACGCAAGCAGGGAGAACTCTTGACACTCTGCCGCATGGTTCTCCTGAACTGAGGATAGTGGTTTGACCACAGGCAAGCAGGTTGACCTATCCCTGCTGTGCATCTGCTGCCCTGAGGGCTTGTGACGTCATCTGTCCCTCCTCAGCAGGCTGGTCCTGCCTGGCACTGCCTGCAGGTCTGTGATCTTGTCTCTAGGACAGATTTGTATCTTTTTCCATTTTCCCAATCCGTTCAGAAAAAGAGAAGTGTTGCTTGGCTGTTTCAGCACACCAATGTGCAAATGGAGATTTTTCCAGCATTCACCAAGGCCCCAGATAGGTGTCACAGAAACGCACTGTTCTCTCTCCCTCCTCCCATCTGTCCCCTATAGCTCAAACCCCCTCTTCCCAGAGACCTTATTATAAGGTCTTTCCTGGCACACACAGTCGCACAAACACACACACAGAGACACCAGGAAGATCTGTGTTGGAATCATTAAGAAGTTTAGATAGATCATTTTGAAGACCCAGAAAGAGGGAAATCGATGAGTGGCAAGGATCAGAAGCCACTGCAGGCAGGGCTCATGAGACAAGCATTCATATTAGCAGCCTGCTTCTGATGACCACCGTGTGCCTGGCATCGTACAAGGTCCCCATATTCCTACCTACCAAGTCACATAGAAACACAACAGCAGGCACTGTGACTGCCCTGGCACAGAAATGAGGCAGGTAAGGCACACTGGAAGTTGCTACTGGTGAGTGGCATGATTAGATATGAACTGAGGCCTGGTATGTCACCACTCACAGGGTTTGGACACATCCATGCCACAGTGCACCCAGGTTGGGAAAGTATCTGGCCAGACTCAGGCCTATCTTCCTCAGCAAGAACATGAACCCCACAGTGGCCTGGGCTGCCCCTGAGCCTTCAGCCTTAACACTGTGAACTCGAGCTCCCATTGGCCTGAGAGTAAGTTCTAAGTCAGGCACAGGACCTTCAGCCCCAGCCCTTGGCAGGGTCCTAAGCATCTCTTCTTCAGGGAAGGTTGAGGGTCTAGTGAGTCATGCCTGCCGAGCCCTCAGCCCAGGACAGCTTGACCTTAGAATGCTTTCTAAGTGCTTACTACTCTCCATTGCTACCAGTTGTAGAGAAGCTCAGGAAGGTACAGGACTAGGCAGCATAGGCTCTGACCTCCACTTCCTACCTGACCCTTTCTGACCGCATGACCTTGGGCCAGTCACTTATTCTCTCTGAGGCTTGATAATCTTCTTCTGTTAAAGACCATACCAATACCCACCTCATAGCAGTACTGGACTATACAGCAAACTAACTGTATGCAGCCAGCCATGGTGGGGCATGCCTACAGTCTCAACACCAGGGAGGCTCAGATAGGAGCAGCAAAGTGAATTCCAGGCCATCCCAGGCTATACAGTGAGTCCTTGTCTTAGAAACAAAAATAAGGGGCCAAGGGGGAGAGATGGCTCAGTGGTTAAGAGCACTGGCTACTCTTCCAGAAGACCTGAGTACGATTCCCAGCACACACATGATTGCTGACAACTATCCATAACTCCAGTTCTAGAGGATCTGACACCACCTTGTGCCTCTAGCAGCATTGCATGAACATGGTACACTTAACATATATGTAGACAAAACACTCATACATATAAAATAAAAATAAGTCTTTAAAAGGGTGAGGGGGTAGTGAGGTGGCTCAATAGATAAAGGCACTTGCCACCAAACTTGACCTGAATTCCATCCCTAGAGACCCACATGGTAGCGAGAACTAACTCTTACAAGTTATCCTCTGACACAAAAATTAATAAATTTAAAATTTTTTTATTATTTATTTTATGTATGTATTTTGCCTGCATGTTCCTTTGCAGAGGCCAAAGGAGGGCATTGAACTCCCTAGAACTGGAGTTACAAAGTTGTCGTTAGCTGCCATGTGGGTGCTGGGAATTGAACCCTGGTCCTCTGCATGAGCAGCCAGTGTTCTTAACTGCTGAGCCATCTCTCTAGCCCCAAGTAATAAAGCTTTCAATAAATAAATATAGGGCCAGGGAGTTGACTTAGTGAATAAAAGTAGCTGCGCAAGCCTGACAACCTGAGTTAGATTTCTGGAACGCACATAAAAAGCCAGATGTGGTGGTGTGTGTCTGTAATCCCATTACTCCTACAACAAGATGAGAGGCAGAGACAGGAGAATCATCCAGATGCTTGCAGGCTAGCTAGCCTGGAATAAATTGGCATAAACCATAAGAGATGCACTGCCTCAGTGAGGTGGAAGGAAAGACCAATTCCCAGAAGTTGTCCTTGACTCCTACACATACACTACGATGTGCAAGCACCTACACACACAAAGACAAAATAAAAAATAAAACTTTAGCCAGAGGTGGCGCATGCCTTTAATCCCAGCACTCAAGAGGCAGAGGCAGGGGGGAATCTGTGGGGTTTGGGGCAGACTGGTCTTCATAGAGGGATTCAGGCCAACTGGGGGTTCCAGGGGACCCCCGACCCAAAAAAAAAAAAAAAAAAAAAAAAAAAAAAAAAAACACCAAATTTAAAGCCCTCCACTCTATCAATAAGATTAGTCAGTCCCATAGGAAAATAAGGGAAGGAGAGGTACGAGTGATTATAAGAGCTCAGTTGGTCAATAAGCATGAAGTGTACCCGGCCTCCCTGGGGAATGATGGTAGAGGGTCGTATGGCTTCACTAAGAATAACCACATAAGGCTCTCAGAATGGCGCCTGGTACACAGTAAGTGCTCAGTAAATATCCCCTGCTACTGAGCTGTGCTGTAGCCCAAGGCATACATTGATGAAGCCCTACGGATGGCCAAAGAGTGGGACCATGCAGCCATGTTTTGGAGCAGGCTCTTCAGGCCCATCCAGTGTCATCCCTGACTGTTGGTGTGTCTCCTCTTTTCCTACAGAGCCTCTGTGGCATGTGCCTGCCCAGTCTCGGCTCTCGGCTGTGACTGGAAGCAATGGCAGCAAGCACCCCTCCAGGCAGGACGCAGTCAGCAAAGATTCACCCAACAGGCATTCCAAAGTGAGTCTGTGCCTCGCCCTGCCCTGCCCTGCCTTGCCCAGGGGAAGGAGCCTGTGGTGGCTAGCTGCTGGCTGCTCAGGGCTGGGTGGCTTTCCCTGGGCACCTGCCTGCTCAGGACTGGGCGGCTTTCCCTGGGTGTGGCCTCTGGAGGGCACATCCTTAGCCATAGCCTCCTCAGGGCCCTGAATACCTGGTCATGAGTCAGTGCCAATGAAGCTCACATCCTAGCACCAGCTCTCCCCAGCCCAGTCATCTTAGACAAAGCCCTTTCTTTCTCGAGCTTCAGTTGTCTTATTACATCAGTCCTAGTAGATGAACTAGTGTGCCTTCAGTCCCTGAACCTCAGAGACCTTGGGCCATAGAAGGTCAGTTCTTTTTGTTTCTCTAAGGATGAGGTTCAGGTCTCCAATGAGTAATATGGCACAGGGTGAGTAATGGGACCCAGGCTCCCTCCCTCTTGAGGCTCTGCTGTCCCTCAGGGCCTCTAGACCCTCTACTGAGTCTCTTGCAGGTCCCTGCATCATGGCAGTGTTACAGTAGAAGGAAGAGAGGTTCTTGTGGGAGATTTTTTTTAGCCCAGGCCTGAAATAGCAGGAATCACTTCTTAACATTGCAATGGCCAGGACTCTGTCCCTGCAAAGGAGGATGGGAAATGTAGTCCTGTGTATCTAGCTTGTTCTTGAGTTTCTTTCCCATGCTAAGCATTAGACCACAGTGATAAACAGGACAACAGAGCCACTGTCCTCAGAAAGTGACATCCTAGTGGGGGCAACAAACAGTAAACAGATAAACAGAAGCATTTTTTTACACTAGGAACTGATCCTTCTAAGAAAGCCCAGTTAAGGAAAAAGAGTATCAAACACTGCTTCAGGGTTCAGGGTCAGCAAAGCCCTTACAGGAGGCAGCCTTGAATGAAGTAAGGAGTGGTCCATGAAAATAGCTGAGGGGAGATTGTTACCAACAGAGAGAACAAGTATGAAGGCCCTGAGGCCTGTGCCTGGAATCTTCAAAGAACAGCGAGGAAACTCATATGATTGGAATGCTGATCTAGAGGGACAGAGGGAGACAAAGGGAGACCAGAACATGAGTCCGATCACCAAGGCCTCATGGGCTGTGATAAGTGTTCTGACTTGTCCCCTGAAATGACCACAGGAGAGCATTGACTGAGGAAGAGACATGATCTGACAGAGGTGCTCACAGCTTCCCTCTGGCTACCTGTGGGGAACAAACCTGAGTCGAGGGGGTGCTGCAGTGGCCCAATGGGCAGCAGTGGCAGACAGGACCCAGGGAGCATGGAGCCTCCTCTGTGGCAGTCCTGGGTGTGTTTGGAAGGCAGCAGCAGCAGGTTTGCAAAGCTGGAGGAGTCCAGGCCTCTGACAGGTGCTGCAGAGGGGCTGTGTGAAGAAGAAAGGGAGAGGAAGTGGAATTAGGAGGGGCCCAGACCTCAGTTTAACAAGCACTGCTTGAGATGTGGGAACTGGAGTGCCCCATGAGGCAGGCCTGTGTAATCACACACCCACTGTACAGATGTTGAACCATGGCAAGGAGAAGGTAAATCACTTGCCCAGGTTATCTTGGCCAGTAAGGAAGGAGCCAGGGTGTAGCGTTGTCTAGCTACAGGGTACCCAGGGGGACTGAGGGCAGAGCCCTTCCCGAGAGTCAGGATGACCCACCTGCCTTCCAGGGTGAACCTCAGTACTCAAGCCACTCCAGCAGCAATACCCTCTCCAGCAATGCATCCAGCAGCCACAGCGATGACCGATGGTTCGATCCTCTGGACCCCCTGGAGCCAGAGCAGGACCCCCTCTCCAAGGGTGGCTCCAGCGACAGCGGCATCGATACCACGCTCTACACCTCCAGCCCCAGTTGCATGTCCCTGGCCAAAGGACCTAGACCCACCAAACCACACAAGCCCCCTGGAAGTATGGGCCTTTGTGGTGGGGGCCGGGAAGCAGTCGGGAGGCCCCACCACGCAGACCGGCGGCGGGAAATCTCTCCAGCACCTGTGGTTGCTGGCCAGAGCAAGGGCTACCGGCCGAAGCTGTACTCCTCAGGTTGCAGCACCCCTCCAGGCCTGGCCGGTGGTAGCCGAGACCCACCAAGGCAGCCCAGGTAAGATCCTATACTGGCTCCAGGCCTTCCAGGGGACCCTGACCACCTCCCACCAACCCACAGCCCTGATGGGGAACCTTCCCCGAAGCATGCTTGTCCATGGTTGCACTTAACACATTGCTTTGCTTAGCGTTGGGTAGCCTACCCACCAGCTTCCAGAGACCCAGGCAGAGGGAGAGAAACCCCTGTCTCTGTCCTCATCTGTTTCTTGTTCTCTCTGATCCTCTGTCCTCTCTCTACGAAGACCAATGGCTTTCAACTCTGGGAGTTCCAGACCTTTTCTGCCAGAAGTGTGTTTGTCTGTGGCTTAAATAAATAAGGGCTTCACAGTCTCCTGACAGAAAGTTAGAGGTGGTAGAGTAGGCTGCCCAGGAGGCCTCGTGGCTTCTTGTTCCACTGTCCTTACCATGCTGGCTTGTCTCTGGTCTCGAGACAGCTATGGTGCCAAGGGAGTGACAGGTGGGGGGCAGAGAACAAAGGGAGAGTTGCAGCATCTCTGCAGCCCCCTCCTTGTGTGGAGAAAGCAGATGCTTCCCTGAACTGTCCACAGCAGGTAGTATCATGTGACTGTCCCAGTTGCACCAAGGCCTGTGGAGGTCTTCCATCCCCCATAGCATAGAGCAGTGGTCCCCAGACAGTCCCATCCAGGTGCCTCTCTGAAATGCGTCATGAGAGGCCTTCCCTGCTGCCTGAACCCAGAACCCTCGCCCAGGTTCAGGGCCTTCCTGGCACAGCAGACCTTTCTGGTGCTTTTGCCAGTCTGTGAGCTTGTGGCCTCTCCACGCTGGGCACATGCCCTCGAGCTGCAAGGCCCTTTGACCATGATCTGCTCTACAGTAGTATCCATGTCTCTGTTTCTACATAGAAATAGCTGCACTCAAAAAAGGTAAAGCAATCATTAGTAGCACACTTTGATCAGCTCTAGTTGAAAACTGTTCAGTGTAGCCCCTTCCCTGCTGGAAGAATTTCATGACTCCCCAGAGGTTCTCTCACAGATTTGAAAACCTCCATGGTTGGACTGGGGATGTAGCGCAGTAGCAGAGTATTTGCCTAGTATGTAGAAAGGCCTGGCTTCGATTCCTAGAACCACAAGGAGGGAGGGAGGGAGGGAGGGAGGATCACTGAGATTGGGAGAACCTGGGTGG